AAATAACATATGAAATGAAAGCCTGATATATAAGCTACAGTTTGGTGGTGTTTTCAGTGTTTTAAATACAATACTTTTTTCAAAAATTACTTTCAAAGTCGTTGCAAAATATCTGACTCAAACTGTAGTATCTTAAATGATAGAGATATTTTTTACTTGAATTTATAAACAAATAGATAATACAATAAATCCTTTATTATTTGATAAATGCGTAAAATTATTTGTATTATCAGTAAAATGAATATATAATAAAATAAATGTTTATACCATAACCTATTGTATTTAATTCAATATTATATTTTTATTTAATGCCTATATGTATACAAATTAGAAAATTTCATTTCAAATTATATTTTAGTTTATATTAATATTAATATTGATTATTTTACATTTGAGATATTAATATTTATTGAATGATATCATGTAATTTACAATTTACATTTGCAAACATTGCATTTCAATCAGTTAACATTTATGAAATTGTAAAATATTCTTATTTATCAGCAATAGGTTTTAACTAACAATTGCACAAAGGTCAATTTAGTATTTCAATATTGTTTATTAATAACAAGAATTTATTATTATGAACTTGCTGTTTATGATAATTATTATCAACTATTGCTAGGATTATTTAACTTTAGTCATTTGATATGATTATGTCACATACTGTATTTTCTAATTGCAATATTAGCTTATATAATATTAGTTAAATATAATGTGGGTAGTTTATCAATAGCATTGTATATTATGAATATCTACTATGATAAACAAGTTTGAGTCACTTTAACATACTATAGTTTTAATATGATTTTATTTGTAATGCTTGTTAAAATATGTGTTTTGTAAAGTTTTAGGCTGAAATATATTCGCAAATTACCATTATTATTATAAAGTTTCATTTTATAAATCAAAATGGCCACTAATCATTTGACCAAGGAAGAAATTGGGCAATGGATACGTAAGTTAATCGATGAAAAAGTACAGAAATACGCCGATAGTGGCCTGGCTGAGCACGTGATTCGTGATATTGTCAGGGCCGAAGTGAATGCCGAACTTCGGGAAAATGGTGTTTTATTTAACCCTGGCACTCCAACACCTCCAAAGTAAGAATTTTTTATTTTTAAATATTTTTAAGTTATTAGAATATAGTAGTAGGCTCATTTACAAAGTACATACTTAGTGTTTTATCCGTTGACGATTATTCATTTTAAAACTGTAATAGGGACATTATTTGGAAATTAATTACAATTTGTTAAGCTTACAATTCATGTTTGGTTTATCATACAATAAAATTATATGAAATATAAGTAATATTTAATTTTTAATTATTTTATATATTGATTCGATGTAAATAATGATAAACAATATTTTAATTTAATTTTCATAAAATATTTAGAAATCAAAATAAGATATTACATAAAGTTGGCGAACTATTTAATCCTGGTGGTCGAGCTCCAGGTCTTAACCCTAATCCAAATACTATTAGAGAAAATCACCAAGGTGTTAGAACTCGTTTGGCATATAATAACAATAATAATCACAATGATGATGATGATGAGCAATTACAATTGGCAATGGCACTCAGTATGGCTGATATAAATGAAACGGAAGTTATAGACAGAAATGATCAAGATAACTTAAATGTGGCTCAAGCTATTAGCATATCTGATACCCCACCGGCCCCTAAAGGTAAACACTTTTAAATTTTGAATTTAGATGATAGGTGAAGTTAAATAAACATGGATAAATACACATTAAAGTATGGCTGATAATGAACATTAGGTGTGGAGCAAATGTGTTTGTTGTACATACTTATTGATTAGCCCCACAAATCGTATAATAGTGGTATCATAATTTTAGTGTACATTAATAACAAAAAAATATTTAAAAATAATATCAATTATAACACAATTATAATGTAGTTATATACTTACAAATTTGAATAATACTATATTTTAGTAAACATAAACTGTACACGAATTATTTAATATTTAAAACATATTTAAAAATTTGTTTAATTATTTTAATTGGAACAAGTATAAAATGTCTTGGTACATATCTTGCTACATTTTACAATTTTTAGCATCGTCAATTAATTATTAATAATAATAATTTATTATATTTATATTAACTTAGCACGTTCGGTATACCCAGAAAATGCGGATCTACCATCGCCAAAAGCTACCGGCCCTCAGTTTGATTGCAGTATATGTATGGAAAAGCAACCACTGGGCGACTCGATAGAGTGCGGGTGCGGACACCTATTTTGCGTGGACTGTATGGGCGGGTATTTGTCTAACGCTATTAGGGAGGGTAATGTCGAGGATATAAAGTGCCCGGATAAAGATTGTCAAACGGTTGCCCAACAGTTCCTGGTCAGTTATATTGTATCCGATGAACTGTACGCCAGGTATGAGTGGTTATTATTAGTGGCCGGTGTTAAAGATATGCCCGATGTGGTGAGTGTTTGATAGGGTGACCAGGCTATTTGTGATTATTACAAAGTAAAATATTTTTCATATTGTCAGTACTACTGTCCGACACCAGGGTGTTTAAGTTTAACAGTAGTAGAGATTGACAGTGCTACCTGTCCGAAGTGTGGATTAGTATTTTGTACTAATTGCTATAAACCTTACCATGATCGTACCGACTGTGACTTGACTGAGCATGAACAACGTAATGCAATTACATCGCATAACGATAGGGTTATTGTGAATCGCATTGCTAATGAGGATGAGCTAAATCGCCGTTAGAGTGACCAACAGTTTTGAGGACAAAAAAATTAACTTAATTTGTATTTTTTTGACTTTCTATTAATTATAATATCTATTTTTGTTTATGAATGTATACTTTAT